AAAAAAAAAAAAAAGTGGTGGGTTCAATTCCAGGTCAGGGCATATACCTAGGTTGCTGGTTTGATCCCCTGGTTGGGGTGCATACAGGGGGATGGCAACCAGTCGATGTTGCACTCTCACATTGATGTGTTTTTTTTCTCCCTTCCTCTCTCTCTAAAATAAATTAATACAAACATATCCTTGGCTGAGAATTTTTTAAAAATTTTAAGTAGTTGCCTTTCATATTGGGGCTGTGAGATTTATTATATCATATAAAACTCTGATTCACTTTAACTCTCTTAAGTAGAAATAAAATTAACATGAAAGCATTGCTAATGTGCTTGTTAAGCTCGAAAAAAATTAAAATTGTAAAACCTGTGTTGGCTAGAATATTCATTCTGAACGCAGTGGTGACTGTATCTTCCTGGGGGACAAACTAGCAATCGACAGTATTTGTAAAATTGTTCATTTGGTTTACCTGTCTAAGCCACTCTAGAGTAGAATTGCTTCTCTAAAATGCTGTAAATTATTACCCCCCAAATTTAGGTGGCATCTTCAGCCCCTTAGTGATTCTATAACTATAGAAACTAATAGTGAGCCTTGGCCGGTGTGGCTCAGTTGGTTGGGTGTCATCCTGTGCACTGAAAGGTCACTGGTTCGATTCTTAGTCAGAGCACATGCCCAAGTTGCAGGCTCAGTCCCCAGTAAGGGGCATGCAGGAGGCAGCTGATCGATGTTTCTCTCTCACATTGATGTTTCTCTCTTTCCCTTCCTCTCCTAAAAATAAATCAAAATATTTTTAAAAAAAGAAAAACTAATAGCACAGGCTCTGTGTCGAGTGCCGTATTCATTCATTTAGTCCTCACAACTTTAGGAGGGTAGCTTCTATTAATTAATACATGTTACCTATGAGGAAACTGTGTCTTTGAGGAGTTAACTCTCCCAAAATCACATGGTAATAACAAGCGCCACCAGAATCTGAGCACAGGCAGTCTTCAAACTCCCTGCTTTCAATCATTTCTCCAAACTGCCTCTCAAGTAGTTGACTTTCCTGTTTAGGGCCATTTAATTGCTTCTATACAGCTACTACTAACATTATAGCTGCATTTTAGTGTAGATTCTAGGTGGTTTTGACCATAATGCTGATGGGAATAAGCAGTGAATCAGATCTTCTGATATATTACTGATGACATTGTAAATAGGTACAGCCTTTTTTGGAAAGCATTTTGGCACATATTTCAAGAGTCATAAAATGCTCATATTTTTTGACCTAGTTAATGCCATTTCTGGGAATCCTCTAAAAACATAGTCCGGTATGGAAAAAACCTTAAGCGTTAAAGTGATCACCACAGCTATCTTTGTAATAGAGTGAATGGAAGCAACCCTAAATGTCCAGCAGTAGGGAATGATTAAACAAGCAATGGCATATTTACTTAGGCAGCCAATAAAAATGAAATATGCAACATAGAGAAAGAAAACAGTCATGTATTTTAAAAGCAGCATGCAGAGCAGTATAGGCACTAAAATTACAGCTTTTACAAATATGAAAAAAGACAGAGAATAGGAAAATGATTGTGGGTACAATTTTTCTTTCTGCTATTTTTCAAACTTTTTGTAATGCAGATTTTCTTCTAATTTTAAAATTAAAATCATATGATTGGTTAATACTTCTGCGTACCCATTTCATGGTGATTGCAGGCAGCATATTAGAAATGTGCAGAGAACATCACTGGTGACAGGCAAACTTCGGGAATCTTGCAGGTGCCTCAGTTACTGGTTGTGTGAACCTGGGACAGTCACCATGTCTTAGGAGACTCCATTGACCCACAAAGTGAGCAGTGCAATTTGGGAAAGATGAGTGGGATTTTTAGAGGCAGGGAACTTTGCTGTGTCTTTGGCATCTCTCAGACAATCCACTCAACTCTGTAAAGCTCAATTTTCTCATTCTTAAAACAGAACTAGTGCGATCAAGGTTGGCACTCCTTCAGTAGATGCTCTAAAAATCTTCCATTCAGTTATGGCCCTTGTAAATTGCTCCTCACCTTTCTTTATCCTTGTGTGACAGGAGCAAATGTAGTCTTTCAGCTAAATTCTCTTGCCTCCAGTCTTTTGAGCGGCAGCTTTTACATGTCGATCTTCTGCCTTCTTGCATAACTAGTTATTTATAATTTAGAGTTAAAAATGAAGAAAAATTTGGTCATTCACTGTTGCTGACTAGACTTCCAGTTTTGTTTTAATCATATTTTTTTCTAATTATATGAATGTAGTAAATGCTTATTGTAAAACATTTGGAAAATACAGAAAACGGAAAGAAGAAAATTATACCATATCTTTCCACCCAGAGATAACCATTATATACATTTCATTTTATTTCTTTTTAGGCTTTTCTGAATATCTGGTTTTTTTTTTTTAAAGGAGAAATATAGGAAAGCTCCCATCAGAACATTTGACATATTTGGCACAAGTTTAACATGATGCTTTTTGATCATTTTGCGACAGTTTATCTTTAACAATTCTTAGATAGGGATAAGACCAAGCTAGCAATGGGGAACTGGAGGGAGGATAGGGGTAGGGATTAGTTGGGAAATATTTTTCTGTAATTCTGATACAGAAAAAGAATGAACTTATGCAAAGTATAATGGCCCAGATCATGCTCCCTGGACTTTGTAAGGACAATTACAATTTTAAATAATTTGTACGGTTTTCCTTATAAGTATCTTTGTACTCTTTCAGACCATTAGTTGCGAATTTTTGGTTTGGGAAATACAATCATCATACATAAACTGGGAATAAAAAAGCTTGCAAAATACAATTTTTTTGGATCTTGGTCTTATACTTTTTAGAACATGCAGTTTTAAAAAATCAGTCCCTGTAATGTCCTCTGGAGAAAAGTAGGACTTTTATTCTGTGACAGAACCAGCAGAGCAACAAATACCTAGGAAGACAGCCTGAGCTGCTCTGGCCACGTGGGGCCAGGCATTGATGTCACATTACTCTGGCTCGTCCTGGGCTTGTACTTAAATCAAAAAGGAAGAATGTACTTGTCAAAGGATTAAGAACATCGGTCCCTCCATTTTCCCGGCTTTGCTGTACGTGATGACTTTAAAAGTGGAGGAAAAGTCTTTTCCCTCTTCTTTCCTTTTTTTCCTTCAGAGCAGCAACCAAATTACAAAAGGTGACACAGGGCATATCCCATATAAATAATTTTCAGTGTGGCATATCTTTCATCCCCACTACACGGAGGAGGACATGAGAAATGTTTGAGGTCAGTGTATTGTCTTGCCTCATCACTCTCCTTTAAACACTCCACTGTGGCTTGTGTGCCTTTGACTTCTGAGGTCTGCTGCCACAGACAAGAGACTCTTGATTGGCTGGGAGCAGGTATCCCTCTCTCCTGCTTAGTATCTGCACATCAGGGAAGTTGCTTGTCCTTTTGTGTCATTTTTCTTACTGGGCCGAGCCATCACCCCTCACTGATGCTTGTTTGTTAACCCTTCCCAGCCATTCATCTTTGAGGAAAATCACTTGACTTCTTTACAGGAGGAGAAAACTAAACTGGTAGCACAGTTTGAGGATCTGGCTTAGAATTTAATTGGCTTCCGCAGCTTTAGTCAGTACTTAGTTACAGTGAGATTGTGGGAATTTGGAAGTGTCATGTGAGAGTGGACCAGGTAATTATAGTTTGGAAACTTTCTATTTCAAATAATTATAGCCCCTCCCAAACTGCGCTTGCTTGAGATACAACTTTGTACCCTATAAAAAAATAAGCTGTGATCTGAGACTTTTGAGTATTTGGAACTGCTAGAGGAAGTGGTGTTCAGAGCTGTAAAAGGGAGAAAGCCACATAGAAAGTTACATGAATTTACACACTGTTCTTTTGAGAGAAATCAGTTTTACTTAATTTACTGTACTTTTTAGGCTTTTTTGGTAATTGATTATTGATAAAAGTGGTTTAAATTTTTTTCAGTATTGCCTGTCGGGGCACCCAACCTTACCATGCAATGTGCTCAAATTCAAATCAACCACCATTATGTTGGACTGTGGACTGGACATGACTTCCACCCTCAATTTCCTTCCTTTGCCACTTGTTCAAAGGTACGTGCTGATGCATCTGAGACAAAATGAGCTTTAGTTTGCTGAAAAATGGTACCCATTTATATATAAAGGTTACCAGTACCTGTGTGTTGTCCTAAGTTTACTTTGTTCCCTTAAAAATATGTTCTTCATCAAAATAATTTCCTTTTGGCTGGGTTGATGGAAAGTGTTGTATTGATTTATTGATTGACTTCTTTATTATAACTTCTGAGCTTCTGTAAAATGTCCCTGCAACTGCTCAGTGCAAGTGAGGTCATGTGTATTTCATCTTTCTTGCTAATTCATATAAGAGCTGATAAATGGTCAACTGATGAGCCCAAGAATTGAATTTTAGAATCACTTAACTGCCTTTGCAGGGACTTGACATCACAGAGCCTGACAGTTCTTTTTGATAGGTAGCTATGCACTATTTTTATACTAGTCAGCTGTAAATATCTTAGAATCAGATATAAAGCCAAAGTCCATGTCTTAAAGCAGATAGATTATCCCATGCCTACAGTCAGCACTATTTATTCTAAGACTTTGTCTAGGAAGCTTGCTGTTTAGAAGCAGCAGTTTATAAAAGAATTGGTAACTTTTAAAAGCAAATTGGTCCCAGTAGCAAAAAGTGATACCATATACAAGAGCTATCAGAAAGCTATCTAAAGCAAACTTAAGAGCTCAAAAGCAGGTAGCAAGCTAAGTAAACCATCTGATGCATTTCATTCACTCCTGAAGACATCACTGTATGCAATGATTATTCATAATGATAACCCTATGAACCATCTAGAAAAAATAAAAATCAACCACTGATTCCCCCCTCCCCCCAAGCTAAGTGCTATAATAGGTGATGGGGACAAGGTCAAAGATAATTCCAGCTTACATTTTATGCAGAGCTCCTAAAATTCAGTTATAGTCACACCCTGCACTTAGAAACACATTTACCATCCACAGGAAGAAAATATATATATATGTTAATAATTGGTTTAGGCACTGCCTCACATATATTTCTCAATAAAAATGACAGACAGTTTATTTCTTATTAAAGTAGCCTGAAATTATTGTCTTTCCCCCTACCCCCAAAGACTAAAACGTTCATTTATTTGGTGTTTATTGAGACTCTGCACTGTGCTAGACAAGGGGATATAGACATGAACAAGACACCTTTCCTTTCCTCATGGAGCTTATAGTCTGTCAAGGGAGAAAGAATTACACAGTTGAAGATTTCATTTAAAAAAAACTATACTCATTGATAATTACTAAGAAAAATACAAAGTACTGCAAAGGCTTCTAAAAGGGGGCCTGCATTCTCTGTTGGGTCACAAATGACCTCGGTGTTCAAAACCTAAGCTGGGCAGACAGTCCTGGCCGCGTGCTTTCCCTTTCCTGTTTCTCCTTCTCTGCCTAACGCTTGTGTCCTCACAGCCCTGGCTCGGCGTTAGCATCCACTTCTGCCTACCCCTTGTCATTAGTTTTCTCTCAGAGGCAGGTTATTCTAGTGGAGTGATTGGCAGCCCACATAGCTTCTTTCAAAAAGTATCTTTTGCTCAGTTCGGAAACCTTTGAGAAATACGCGGCTAAAACAGTATCCCCAGTTTCTCCCTATCCCCTCACCTCAACTTCATTTTTCTTCACAGTGCTTATCATTGCACTATATATACATATTTGGTTTATATATTGTCTTTTCCGCTACAAGGTAAGTTTCATAAGGGCAGGGATTTTATTTCTCCACTGTATCCTCTGTGCCTAAAACAGTTCTTAGCATGTAGTAGCTTCTCAGTAAATATTTGTCATAGGAATGAATCCCTTTTTCTTCCCTGGATTCCAACCCTTCTCACCTTCTCAGTCATCTCACTATTAATTATAATCTTTCCTTTATCTTTAACTCTTCCATCTTAACTCAGTTTTCCCCATTTAATTATACTCAGTCACTTCTAACATAAAATTTAAGAAAAAAAATTTTTCACCTTCTCTCAACTCTGCTTTTCCCTTCAGCATCCCTAACTCCTCCAGTCTGTGCTTTTCCCCAAACCGCCCCCAGAACACCTCTCCCTGAAGTCACAAATGGCTTCCATGTCATTAGCTCTGATGCACCTGTGTCAGTGTTCATCCTATTTGACAGCTCAGCAGCACTCTCCTCCATGGTAATGCATTCCTTTTTCCTCTTACATATCTGACTCTTCCTCTTCTGTCTGTTTTGGAGATTCATCTTTCTCTAATTGCCATCACATATCAAAATTCTTTAATATCCATTGCTTGCCCATCAGAGTCTCCACCAAAGGAATTTAATAAATGCTCAGGGCTTCCATAACCATCCAAACAATAACTTATAAATGTGCATCTTTAGGTAATAATTCTCTCCTGAGCTCCAGATTCAAATAGCCAAAATATTCATATATCCAAAGTTTCTCTCCTTGATGTGCCTTTGAAGGCTCTTCAGAACTCGGTGTACCTCAAATTGAGTTCATTATTAGACTTGGTCCAGAAGAGGAGAGCAGACACTCCCAGACCTGTTTGGGGAGTACCTATCTTAGTGAATGGTATCCTGTTATAAAATCCAGAAAACTGGGAGTTAACTTAGATATGCCCTCTTCCTTGCTCCTCGTATCAACTCTTTCAGTAAGCCTTGGCATTTCTACCTTCTGAAGAGCTCTAGGATCACTTCCCTTCGGTGCTGCTGTAGTCATTATCCTCTTTTACAGGCATTAGTGCTAAAGCCTCCAGACCACTTCCTTCAGTTCTCATCCTGCTCCTGCCTGAATCTAAAGTCATCTTTTTGTGTAACTTCTTACCCTGAAATCACTTCAGATTTACAGAAAAGTTGCAATAACACAAACAAATCCCAGTTTTTCTTATCAATTGTTAACATCTTTCCCATTTGCTTTGTTGTTTTTTCTGTATGTGCATGCATGTAATTTTTCTGACCCATTTCAAAGATACAGACATGATGCTCCTTTACCGCCTACATAATCAAGTGCCTCTTTTCTAAGACGGACATTCTCTACCTAATCACAGTACAGTAATCAAAATCAGGAAACATTGATATCATACTAGTACCTAAGCTTTATACCTTATTCATACTTCCCAGGTTACACCAATTCATATTTTACTATAATGCCTTTTATAGCAAAAAAGAAAAATAGCAAAGCAGGCCCAGGAACCACTCCAGATCACATTGCATTTAGTTGTCATGTCTCTAGTCTCCTTTAATCTGAGAGTTTCGCCATCTTTCTGTCAGTCTGTTACGACCATCATTTTTAGGAGTACAGGCAGATTATTGTATATAGCGTCTCTCAATTTGGGTTTGTCTGATGTTTCTCATGATTAGATTGGGATTATTTTTGGTAGGAATGCCAAACAAATGATGGTATATGTGATCTATCAGAAGGAACATGATGTCAGTTTTCTTCAGAACCATCTTTTAGAATTACAAATCTAATCTTACCTCTCACTTACTTAAAACAATGGTCTTTCATTGCTGTTAGGTTACATCTTGGTGTATTAAGCTTTATGCCTGTCCCTCTAGTATATTGCTCTTTGTTTCCTTTCAGTTTCAAAGAAATCTTATCTCATGCCCAGGAAGTCACACACTGTTTCTTCACCATGAAGGCTCTTCTTCCCCTCCTCCATCCCACCCTCCTTTAGCCTATTTAGCCTGAGCTTATCTCTCAGATCATTTATGACTCCAGTTTCTGTACAGAAAGGACATGGAGATGGCATTCTAGTTGGATGAGAGGGAAGTAGTGTATGGGACTCTTCTTGAAATTTCATTTGAACCATCTTTTATGTAAGATGTCCATGCCAGAGTCTGGTGAGAATAAGGGGGGAGGGGGGCAAGTACTGAACCTTGTAGCTGCCTACTTTCTCTGTTCCCTCCAAACCCTGCCCCTTGACCCAGTTTCTCCTGGACTCTACTGTCCTAATCTCACCTCAGTCATCATAGACCCAGGCAAGTCTTTTGATGTTGCCCAGACCATCATTAGCAAATGTGGTGCCTTGTACTATACTGCCTCATCATTTTTAGCAGCTTGTCTCTGTTGATGTGATACTTGATATGTCTGTCCTCCAGAAGGACAGGTATGTTTTGCTTGTGGTCATATCACCAGCACATTCAGGCTTGACACATAAATAAAGATTCATTAACGAATGAGTAAAGCTGAACACCTTGTTCTCCTACACCACCACCAGCAATGAGGCTGGTCCCTCTTTCCCATTTCTGGAAAGACCTCCTCCACCTTTACCTTGCAGCTCCTATTCCCTGCTCTCCACACCACTGCACACTGTCAGAATTGCCCTTCCTGCCTGAGCCCGTAACACCTTCTACTTACCCGTCGTAGCTTTTATTTTCTTCTATTGTAATTGCTGGTTACTATCTCCCTGTACTAGTGTAAACTAAAACTCAAGGATTATTTTATTTACTGTCATGTTCTTGCACATTGCATACTTTGCTCAGAGTAAGTTTTATAAATATTTTTTAATGAATGAATGTAATCATGCCTCTTTTATTATTTTCTGATCATAAAAGTAATGTATTTCAAAGTAGGAAACTGGAAAAATGAAAAGTATAAAGAAAATATGAATTGCATACCATATTTATTCTATGATTCACTATTTTTCTAGGTAATAGATTACTTTTAAGTGCCTGAGGTTATTTATTTACTTATGGGAATATTTTATCAATTTTTTAAAAAATTTATATGCTTTTTTTTTTTACTAATATTTTTAGTGGCATCTTTTTTTCCTAAGAAATTATTGTTAAATAGTGGATGCAAAGATGTGTTCATCTAGAATCATAATTTTTCTAATATCTTCACCTCCTATATTTTATTAAAGTAGATTTCTGTGGAGAGGCTCCTTTGTTTCCTTGTTTAAAAAACTTACACAAATTTTGTAATCATTAAGAGCAAAATAATAAGTCCCTTTCCCTTTCATTGCTTAAAGTTTACAAACTCTTTATGGTTTAGTCATTAACTCATTGGAACTCAGTAACCAAATATTTCTATCCCTGTAGTCAACATCCCTTTGCCATTGGGTGACACATTTCTGTGGCTCTTCATCTTGGACGCCATTGTTATAACACGGTCATGCTTTCCGTCCCATCTACTGGCAATTTCTCAAATCCAGAATGACTATAGGTATTTCATAGAAGGCTATGGTATAAAAAAATGATATAAAAACACAATACCTGAAATTTTTACTTTAAAAAAACACAACTTTTCTAATAAGCAATGTACCATTTCTAATCATTTGTTGAGGACAACTAACTGAGTCAGTCATCTCTAATATGAAGGCTGATTCATGTGTGTCTGATGGGGAGCAGAGAGAATGCATGTACTTTGACCCAGCTTTCTTTGTAAAGGGAAGTGGATATTTACAACCTTCTTTTAGAGTTAGCATGGGTGAAATGAAAACAGTACACATTGTCTTGTCATTACACTTTTAAACTGATCTGATAGTAAATACATTCTTTAAAAAAGAAGAAGTCTATAAATGAAGAAAGACATATGACTATGAAGTGAGATGGGAATTAAATAGCTAGTGACAATAGAATATTTCTGTGAGAGGTTAGAACAGAAAACTCTCAGATTTTTTTTTAAAGCTTATCAGTTATAATTTATACCAACCAAATTTGATTCTCCTAGTAGTGATTTTTATTCTCAACTATGAAATCCAAAATTCTTACTTTTTTGATTAATAAAAGCAAAATGTAAACCGTGAATCTAGGCAAAGGGTGTGTGGGACTTTATTGTACTTACCTCCTTACAACTTTTCTGTTAAGTTTGGAATTCTTTCAAAATTACAAGTTACCCCCAAATTTTTTACATTTTTAAAAATTAGATGCATGTATTTCCAGGTTTTTAACCTTTCCTAGAAGATATTTATCTTTCTATTTTACTTTCATACCTATCACTTACTTATAAAATCAGAATCTGATAAAATTATTTTGGCAAGAGGATAAGGGACTATATATTATTTGGTTTCTGATTATAGTCTTTTAGTCCCCCACCCTTACTTTGCCCTTAATTTTTACTTCACAGGCTAGTTTTGTGGTGAATTGCTAAATGCCTTTTGCCATTCAGCTCATACTCCTGATGTGCTTTTTCTTCACACATCACCTTAACCATTAAGTTTTTCTTTTACAGCATTTTTGTGTGTGTGAACTATTTGCATTTTCGCCTACCAACATAATTCCTCTGGTCAACTAATGGCACACAGTTAAACCTGAGGTTACCAGAAGTGATTGATTTCTAAATCCATACTATATTAATGTGTCATATGTATAATGTGAAATTAACCTCACCTTTCAGAAATTATTCACTTAGTTACGGCATCATTTTGTAACACTTAGGAAAACTAGCTTCATTTTCCAGAATTGGAAACTCAAGCCACAGGTGACAAGTGACAAATCCACTTATAAGCAATGAATCCAGAATGTGAATTTGACTAGAACTCAGGGATTTTCGTGTGCAGTGAATTCTGGCTGGTAGGCAGCTAAGAGTTCTTGTCAGAGCCCCTGACCTCTCTCTCTGAGTCTTTCTCACCTACAGATGCTGATCCCACGTGGCCTCCCCCTCAGGTTTGTCATCAAACACAAGCCAGTTGAAGTCGGGGGCAGTGACTGGAAAACTATAAAATGCTCTAATGCCTTATCTTTCCTTTTTCTTTATTGTTCTGCATAATGTTCTTTCAATTTTCCCAATTTAGTGCTAAATTATTTGGCTTTTTAATGATCCATTGCCACATAGTTCTTAAGCTTGATACAACAGGGTTCTTTTTTATCTTTTTAATTAGTATTTTGGGTGAGCATTGCTGCCAATAATTTCAAGCTGTTTTTAACTTTATGGAGACAATACAGTCACCTTGAAATTACTAAGGATTATAATCTATTTAGGATAATTTAATCTTTTGTTTTGCAGTCCCAGGCTGTCTAATCTTCCTGGCTGGTCCCTAAAGGATGGAAATGTTTTCTTGGACAAGGTAATGATTAACTGAAGTGTCTCTATACCCAGTGGAAAACCCTCTTGTCATACCAGGGCCACCCAACAGTAATATGATTGATGGGCTCATTCCTCCTTCCCCCCAAAGTATTCTTCCTGAAAAATCCCAAGATCCATGTAAGGTCTTTAGTACTTGGTGATTATTGTTTTTAAGAGCCTTTTAGGGAATCCTTGTTCAATTTCAGGTCCAGTTTTCTCATGTGAAAAAATCTAAGAGCTGCAGCTGCAAATACATTTTATCACCACAAAAAAGAAAACTACTATTTTTACAATTACAATGAGATTTTCAAAGGTGATACTTATTAGAGAATTCCACCTACTCTATGACTGGAAGGAGTAAATTTTTTAAAAAATAACTTTAAAATCCTCTCAAGTATGTGAGTTTTAAACTTCCATCGGGGTGGGGTCAGGTCAGGTGGGGCATTGTAAAGCGTATGTCTCTGGGGCTGAGGATAGACCACAGAAGGCTGGGGAGGGCAGTGTCGCAGTCTGATCAGGTCACTTTGGCTGCCATGTGAGGAACATACTGAGGAGCTGGGTGTTTAACTACCCAGGCAGTGGTTTCTGGGGTGGGGTGGGGTAAAAACATGTTCTTAGGTAAATTTGTGTAGAGGCCTTTCAGACTATGATCTCTGATCTTACTCCAGCCTTTCCTGGTAGCCTAGGATGGACACTCTCATAGGCTGTGGAAAAAAGAACATAGTTCTAGAATCTAAGATTTGGGGTCCTATTGACTTTAATCACTGACTAGCAAGGCTTTAAGTAAGTGACTTAAATTGCTTCTTTTTTCTAGCTATTAAGTTTTTGACATTAGATTATCTTCACAGTAATTTCTTCCTTAGATCTTTACTTAGGCAGTTAACTTATATGTGAGAGACCAAGGGTACAAAAAGTGTTAAAACTATAATTTTATACTTAAAAAAAAAATCAGAGGTAAAAGGTTAAAAGCTTCAGAGCTCATCCATGCCATTTTCAGTCTTCTAAATTTTTTGTTTCCCAAGTCTCACAATTGAAAGACTGAATAAGTTTAAAGATCCTTAAAATGGTTCATCTAAATAAGGCAATTACTTCTTGTAATAGATATTGTTAAATAAAAAGGTGCTCTTTTTACAGAATTAATTCCTGTGAACTGCACCCCAACCTCAAGTGCAAGCCAAGTGCATAATTGGAAATGAGATTTCCCTCACAGTTAATCCATAAAATTATGTGACATTCAGGAACCTGTGTACCTGAAATCCGCCCACCTCTTCTGCTCCTGTAAATCATTCTCCCTGAGAAGGGTTCAGAAGCATCCTGTTACCAGTGCATTGTGAGCAAAATGACGCACCTGGGTACTGAGAGCATTTCATTAGAAGAGAGTGGTGAATAGAATACAGTGACATTGTAAGTGCGCAGAATGGCAAACGTGCTTCTGCAGCCGGGAGGGAGCGCCTCAGAGGACGTGTTGTCACATGGGGTAGGCATGCCCTGATATGTAGCCTTGTGGGGAAGAAGATTATGTAGCCAGTTTGAGACCAGGCAGGGCTTTGAAATTTCCCAGGATTTGTCTGCAATCATTTTTAACCTCATCCTAAGGGAGTTGGGAGTCTTTTCCCATTAAACATAATTGCTTATTTATTTTTAGCTGGCAGATGCATTGTAATTAAGAACTGTTTGCCGTCTCTTTTTGGCTCAGCCTTTCACTGGTTAAATGGTATTCCTGTAAGGAAAGGAACCAGAGTTTACAGTGAAAGGCAAGGGGAGAAAATATTCTATCAGGGTTCTGATATGAGACTTGTAAAATTCTGAAGGAAAAAAACACATATAGTTAATAGCCTACCTTCAGATAAAGGTTGAGAGTAAAATTATTCAGACTCAAATATAAACAGAGATACATTTATGTGAATATATGGAAATATATGTTCAGTAACTAATGAAAACACCGTGGAACAAAATTCTCTTTCTGGAAAGAGCAAACTGTAACCAAACTGTATTTTTTTATGAAGTCATAGATAGCTTTAACCTTGATGGAACAAAAAGTTCTCCATAGATTTCAGTTTCAAGGGTCAGTGAGGGAAGGCAGCAACTCTGGTGGCTTTCTGGAGGCATTGTAGCAGACCCCGTCGGTGGCCCACTCACGTCTCTTCAGTGTGCTCTGCCGTACTTCAGCTGCCAGTACCTGGATGGTTTGCCAGAGAGTTTTTCCGGCAACTGTAAAATGCAGAAGTTGCTATATAAATATCTCAGATTCCATGCCCCTGGGTAGGATAACTCCAAGGTATATGCTGATACACCAGAGTGTCCCCATGGATTTAGTCCCACTTGCCCACAGTGATATATAGCTCAGTAACACATCCATTATCGGCCATCTTCCTTTCCCTTTATCACTTGCCCTTCCTCCCCCTGTTTTCAGCACCTTCCATATAAGCCTGCGCTTGCCCTTTTCTCAGGGATATTTGTGAGGGAGTGCAAACTAAGACAGGCATATCAAATGTGGTAGGTCATGGGCAGGGTGGGGAGTTATACTACAAGTATACTTTTTTTCTTTTGAATGATTACATTTGGTTTATAATCAGTCCCAGATAAATTGTATGATCTGCAAGGACAAAGATTATATTCATGAAGGTGATGGGGGGGTAGTTTAATTCCTACCCTCTATTCTTCATCTCCCTGCTTACTTGCCCCTTGCCCCTTGATTGCAATAGCAAAATTGCTGGAGGTGCTTGTTATAAATACAGGTTCCATGACCACATCCCCAGAGTTTCGATCCCTTGGGTCTTAGGGCCCATTGACTTCATCAGTGTTCCCAGAGTATTCTGATGTTGCTGGTATGGTCTACATAACTGTTATTCGGCAAGCATCGGATCATGAATTATGGAAGCAGCATGTGTAGACACATGGCTTCCTCAAACGGCATAAAGAAATAGCACTCAGGTCCTGAGCCGGCCACCTACCAGCATTTTTAATCCTGAATGAGACACCTAACCTCCCTGAGCCTAAACTGGAAACAGTTGGCCTACATCACCTTCTAGCTTCCCTCCAACTCTAGCAGTGTGTGATTCTTCATGGAAAGTTTGTTTTGGGGATGAAATTTCTTTGTTGCTGTATCTGTTGGATATTTCGTCCTAGACTTTTTCCTTTTCATTTCTTTTAGGAGCTAAAGGAGTGCTCAGGTCATGTATTTGTGGATTCTGTGCCTGAATTCTGCTTACCAGAGGTAAGATTAAAGTGAATCTCACTGTAGAAACAAAGCATATCTTGTCATCTCTCAAAATGAAGTCAAGAAATAATTTTAAGGGGCTTAGCTGCTGCTTCTCAAGTTGAAATGAATCTGTTGTTTCACTCGCTTTGTTATACAGCTGAAATATCATTTAGGAGTTCTTTCTGTTGTCTGGTAATCATTTGTTACTCTCTTCTTCCTGTTCCTAGCTCTTTCCATAATCCCCAGTGACACTTGTACTAGGGCGTAGTTTTGAGCCAGGTAAGGAAATAACTCAGGCCTTTCAGTTTTGTAATTATACTGCCTGTGACTTAGATTAGCCCTACTTTTCCCAGTCTTGCTTAGAGTGGGTAACTGCAAATCTCTGTTATTCAGCCAGTGCAATAAACTGTAAAAATTCTTGCTACCTGAAAGATCATATTTTGAATATTGCTTGAAATTCACAGATTCTGAACTGAGTTATGGATGTCTGTCATTTATATATTGTTATCATAGTGAGACTTATAAGAGTCGGATGCCAGTTTCATCCTGTAAAGGAAACAAAGATTATTTTCCATTAGTTTTAAAGGAAACTAATCTCAGCTGACAGGCCCAATCCCCGGAGGGTCCTGGGTGGAGCTCGAAGCAGACAGATGAAGTGCAGGGAAGCCAGTAGCTACTCCAGGGTTCCTGAGGAAATCAATGAGAAGCTACCATTCTGTCTTTTCCTTGCGCCCAGTGGATGATAGCACCCGTAGAAAATATCTTCACAGTCCAGTGCAAAGAGAAAAGAAATGTAGAGTGCTGTTTCCCTTATTTTTGTCCTCCCTCCCTCTCTTTCCATTGCTACACTTTTTTTGATACCCTATAGATAAACATTTTTCTCTTTAAAGTATGTGTATGTGCCCTTTGGGGTACCAGAGTGAAAGAAAGGAGGGGAAACAAAGAAGGACATGGTCATTGAAGGTAGCAGAAAAGGGAGAGAGTTTGAAGTAAAGTAGTAAGAATAAGGGTGAAGGAAGACAGTTTTCAAGAATCCTGAGCTCGCCCTGGCCAGTTTTGCTCAGTGGTTAGAGTGTCAGCCCGTGGACTGAAGGGTCTCTGGTTCGATTCTGGTCAAGGGCACATAACTCGGTTGCAGGCTCAATCCCTGGCCCCGGTTGGGATGCGTGCGGGAGGCAACCAATCGATGTGTCTGTCCCATCGATGTTTCTCTGTCTCTCCCCCTCCTTTCCACTCTCTCTATAAATAAATAAATAAAACTTTTATTCATTTCCCCCAAAAAAAGAATCCTGAGCTCTCCCTACTGGCAATTAGTCTTTTTGCCACCTTCATTTGTCATTGGTGGGGCAGTTCTCCATCTGTTCACAGACTCCTAATCCCAGGTGCTGTGTGAATTTTCAGTTTACTACACATGGCACCGACTGCTACAGCCTTCAGTTTATGGACAACAGCATGGGATCTGTGAATTGGTGTTCTCATGACTTTTACCTGCTCCACAGAATGCTAAACTTTGAAATTAGGCAGTTACCATTTCATAGTTCACCTTTTGGCAAGCTAGAAGAGTATTGATATATTTAGGATTCTAGAGCCATATAAGTCTTTTCAACTTATGTTATAACTTGTGGGTTATAACAAGTTAGTAATAGTTGCTATTTTAAGGTAGAACCAGGGCATTGTATGATCAAGAGAAAGTAGGAGAGTTGAAGAATCAGGAGAAGAGGTACTTACTGCAGTCCACTCTTCACTGACTTGGGTGAGTCGAGCAAACCTAATCCCAGTCCTCATGGAATTTATCATTTATAATCTTGTACAACTACCTTAAACATCTTAATGTTCCCTAAAGTCTACACCATGGACTGCATATGAGGTCCAGGACAGTATAGTAAGCAACCAGTAAATGAAGGTAGTTTTGACCCAGGTTATGATCTATAGAACCAAGTGTCCGTATACAGGAAATTTAAAATTAAAATAATCTTTATTGGATTTCACTGAGTGAAAGTATGTAAGTAAATATATAAGTGTGAGTATATAAATGTGGTTTGGCTATTAAATTTATTTCTCAGAGGAAAAATGTTTAGACACTGTTGAAATATATACAGACAGAATATATATACATGTTTTCTTCTAACTGTCCTCACCAAATTTCTCATCATTCTAGACTCGGCTGATTCTCAGACATTAAGGAGAAATTTCAAATATCCTTACCCAGATCCTATACATGGGAAGGAGGGAAGGTAGAGAAGCTTCTGAGCTTTACTGTTGCTTCAGCTGTCCCTTCCTGTTTTCTTCTGGATCTGTCACTCTGCTACCCTGTCTTCATTTCTTTGTTTGTTTGAAAATGGTCCTAGAGAGGGGGTGGGAACAGGACCAGCAGAATGCTACATGACCTTTCATGATGAGGATATGTCTTGGAAGTGCAGTGTATGGCATGGAGTGAAGGGTGATGTAAATTGAATATTTTCATTAAGCATTTTATTCACACAGATTGCCATTGCCATTGCCCTTGCCCTAAGCAGTACGTAGCTTTTAACCTCAAATCTACATGTGGTCCCCAGGAGCTGATTATGCCTTGGCAGCTTTATTAAATTAACTTATTTCATATGTGAAGTCATTCAACCAGAAAATACCCACAGCCAAAGTGGTACATTGGCTCTATCACTTGCAAAGATGGCACAGGTGTCTTTGTTACTTCTTCTCTGTGGGGGACATATTAGCTCAGTGACCAATTCTTCTGACTTTCTTGCTATCCTTTTGTACCATGCAGTTTCCCAGGGGTGACTTCTGTGAGGGGGGAACTCACTGGTTGAGATGATGTTTCTGAGCCATAGCGCCTCACTTTCCCCCATAGAAGGTGCCACCTGTCACTACATTCCTCCCACAACAGCTGGGAGGGGACAGAGATGAGTCAGCGGGATTCTTGACCTGAGAGACATTTAATGTTTGAGGGGCAAAGTGATACTTTGAGTTGCCATTTTACAGAGTGATAACTGCCATCAGAGGTACATACATGAAGTGCCTTGGTTGTTCTGAGAAAGAAGTGGTTTCATTCATCTGAGCAAATCAGGAAAGCTTAGTGGAGGAAGAGAATTGAGCTTTAAAAGAGGTAGGACTTAAATTTATGGGAAAATTGTTTCCTTCTAAGACAGTTTTCATAAAATTTACTAAACATGGTAGCATTTTTCCCTTTCCTGCCAACCTGTCTTTGCCATTTTTACATGATCTTAATGAGAAAAGAGGTAGTTGTAGGGTTAAGACTAGGATAGAGCCCCGCCAGCATAGCTCAGCAGTTGAGCATTGACCTAGGATCCAGGCGATCGGGGTTC